CTACCAGCAACAGGCACCACTTGCCTCTCACATGTACCTGTAGCAAGTAGCAGTCTTACAAACTCACAGCATAAACCAGATCCGGATCCGGATCTAGGTCTGAATAGACAGTTTTGTAGGGCCTGCTACTGGTGATAGAAGCTTGTGACAAACAAATAGAGCTTAATGCCGGTAGTGTGTTTTCAATATTAATTATGTGTGCAGTTTCAGTTCTGGTATCCTTTATGAAATGTTAAATTTATACTCATCAAAAATACTAGATCCGTTCAGATCTTTTTCTGCAGAACACTAATACATGGTGTCTAAATTATGGAAAACGGCATAATGTAATTTTTTAATATTTTCTCATAGTATTTCAAAAGGTCTAGGTTGTCAATATAGGTGTCGACAAGCAAAAGCAGGGAATTTCGATTTTTACCGGCTCCGCTTTCTGATCTGATTCCTGATAAATTTAAATTAAGCACAACATAAATTATATGGTGTGTTGAATCACATTTTTCAGATTTGATTTATAAAATAATTTCAGAAAACTCACAATTCCCTGTTTTCGCTTGTCGACACCCATATTATTATAAACTGTCTATATTATTATAGCTGCCTAATAGTTATATTATTATAAGCTGTCGATATTATTATAAAGCATTTAACGGAATTACCTTTAACATTAACATAAATACAATAATTATGAAACTAAAATTAAAGATTTTTAAAGAAAACACCTTGTGAAAGCAGGAAATCCAAATAACTAATTAAATAAAATCTATATTCAAGCTTCCTGGTTTTCACTTACAGCTATTTTCATAAATTCTGGGATATCTGGCAAAAAATTAACCACTGACTATTTGCCAATTCGATAAGTTTGTGATTTCGGTAATGATAACTGCCGAATCAAACCTTATCAAATCAGCAAATATTCGGTCAGTTAATTTTTGCCAGATGTCACTGAATTTATAAAATAGCTGTAATGGCATTCAATTATTCTGTTTACAGGTATAAAGTAAATTCGGCACAGATTTTTTTTACCAAATTTTTAGCCTAAATATACATATGTGCCTGAATTATCCATCTTAATAAAATGATTATAACGCAGCTAGAATTAGTCTTTCATAATTGCTGAATTACTTACTTTTTATACTTCTGAAATTATTTGGTTTTTTTCATCAAAATACAATCAATTCTGGAATACCTACTAAAATACTTTTTTTTCAGATATAATTTGAACATATCTATAAGGCTAAGGTTGATACAATATAAACTCATAAATACTAATAAATAGATATGTATATACAAAAATGTATGCACTGCTATTGTTTGAATTCGATGCTATTGTTAGTAGAATATGAACCAGCTTTTCTTATTCATTTAGCAGATGCATACAATATGCACAATAGTTATTCTTTGACGAAGGTTAATTAGGAGTGCGCCAGGGCGACCACCAGAACTATAGGCACATGATAAGACGCTACATCATAGAAAATTATTGAATCGTCTAGCTCCTGCATGCAGCTTTATCGCTGCAAAATTTTCATATATGGATGTGGCGTCTTATCATGAGCCCGTACTTTTGGCGGTCGCCCTGGCGCACTTGTTAATTAGGTCTCGAAAAAATAACCTTCATAGCCAAACTGCTATGGGTTTTGTTGACCAAATTCGTGGTTCAATCAATTTCATACATTTTGATCTATCATTGATAACTCTCGATCTAGTGATTCAATCTTGATGATTTGATATCATTCAATTTTCTCAGTGAAAGGCTTCGAATTTATCAAAATTATCAAGATTGAATCATTAGATCGCGAGTTATCAATGATAGATCAAAATGTATGAAATTGATTAAAACACGATAAAACCCATATTATGCACATAATTCTCCAAAAGAATAACAATTACATGCATAATTCTATTGTTGAAATTTTATCTCTAGTTCAAATTTGAATAACGAAATTACATTTATTTTAAAAAAAAGAAAATAAGTAATGCAATATAAACAGTAAAAACTATATATAAATAAAAGAAAAACCTTAAAACTTCAATACACCTACTGTTTAAATATAAATCACACTAGTAATGTCAACACATGATTCTCATCAGCTTAGTTCTTACAACAGTGATTCTTTAAGTTGGGCTAATGAAGATGAATTAAATGAATCAAATGAGTTAAAAATTAAATACATCTAATATACCAGAAGATGTATATAACCTAGATGCTGAATCAGGTTCGAGTTCTCCTGATCAACTTCCGTCAAGTGGAGTTACTGTTACTAATAGTTTAGGTAAAAGAGTTCAAAAAAAAAAAAAACTTTTACCTATTCCAAAAGACCGAATCTGAGAGAAAGTTGGGTATGGACTTATTTTAAGCAAAATAAAATTGAAAAAAAAATATATTGCAAAGTTATAGTTACAGATAAGGATGGTTTGGAAAAAGAATGTGGTAATGACTACGAATTATCAACTGGAACAGGCAATTTAAAAGCTCACCTTCGTCAAATTCACAGAATTTTGCCGCCTGAAGAAAATAATCAGAATCAATCAATTAAAATAGCTTCTAACCAACTATCAATACATGATTTTATAAATAAAAAGACACCCTTACCTACTTCAAAGCAAGATAAAATCGCAAATCGTATTTTAGCCTGGATCATTGATGATCTTCAACCATTTAATGCTACTACAAATAATTGCTTTCGCGATATGATTCTTAAATGTGAGCCGAGGTTTAAGTTTCCCTGCTACGATAAATTAAAAGAAAAATTAATGCAGTCAGTACTTTTTGCTGAACAACAGCTTAAAGAATTACTACAAACAACAATGAATTTTTTTTGTTTTACAACAGACCTTTGGTCTTAAATACACCAACCTTATATTGCTATAACTATTCATTGGATCAGTCCTGAATTTAATTTATATCAAGCATTACTTACAATTCAAAAATTTGATTACCCTCACACTGGGGATCGAATTGAAAATTTTTGTCGCCAACTTTTTGACAAATGGGGAAACTTTTAGGTGCTTTAACGGATAATGCTGCTTCAATGATTAAAACTATAGATCAACTTGGTGTTGAGCATATAGGTAAAACTACCTTGAATTAGTGCGATTATTGAATTTTGTGAATCTCACGAATCCCTATATCGCCATTGCTAAAGCAATGGCGATATGCAGAATTCATGAGATTTACAAAATTCAATAACTGCACTAATTCAAAAACAATGA